TTTGGGGACTGAAAAAATGTGTGAAGGTAACCACGTCTCTCCACAAACTGTAAAAGGTCGTACGAGTACGAGGAAATGAGGATTCCGAAATGCCTTACAATGCACTGGTATCTTCTCACCTTGCAGAATTAACGTTATGCAAGTTGGCGGAGTTAATGGTGCCGAATGATTTTAATTTATTCGTATTGGCTATTAAGGACGATCTCTTATCAAAAGCCCTTGAAGATCATTCCTTGTTTGTATTTTTAAGTGCGGCCTTTGTAAATGCAATAATACCGAAACTCAAGGAGCTGAAACTGGAAGAAGATAAAGATGATTCGCCACATCTCTGTGCGTTGAGAGTGCGTCCGCATGAGCGCCCCTTCAAGCCCCGTCTTTTAGAGTGCCTGAAAGATTTTAAGGGGAAGATTAATGCAGAGTGTCGGGTGCTGTACAAACCGGAGGCTAAAAACTTCCCGCTGGTGGACGGCTTTTTCTTTGTGGAGTCAAAACCGAAGATAATGGTTGGGCTGCAGATGACGACGGCAAGTGAGCACCACACCATACCCAGCACCGTGAATCTGTTCAAAGAAAATATGGCGAAATATTTTAATGGTTGGGAGAAATTTTCCCGAGACATGTTGTGGGAGATTATTTACATACAGCACGCAGACAGCACGCCGCTGGATGGCTGGCAGAGATGTGATTACGTCAATCCCAGGAATAAAACCGACGCTGAAAACGAGATTGTGGCGTTCTGGAACGGAAAGGTGCACCAATACCAGTTTGTGTTAACAACTGAATTTGTAAGTAAAATCCGAGAAATGAAAATGTAAAGACTTTGTAGAAGAAGGGATAGGGAAGAAAGTTGAAAAATAATTAGGGAAATTAGCGCATTGCGTTTATAGTATAATTTCACAGGGACTATTTTAGCGATTCTTAATTTTTTTGTGGCCGCCGGGTTTATCCAGAGAGCTTCTTGTGAGAGAGAATCATTATGATTTACAGTGCCACAGCAATAAAATTCTTTTATTTTACTATTTTTTTTCTTAAGGAGTCCATTGCCATTAGAAGCTTCTGCAAAATATGAAGGCTGCAGAATTCCTTTGTATTTTTGGGATTTTTTAGGAGCTTGTGAAAAGAATGATCACGGGAGAGCTGGCTAACTTAATTAATGTATGTGTATATCCTGATAAATGAATGCATTCTTTATGATACTTTCTACCGTATGAATCTTTTGGGAAGAACGCGACTTTGTAGGGGCGGGAACCGATAGAGGCCGGATAATATTTTAATTTTATTTTTTACGGACACTTCAAGAAAACGAAAAGCTCACGAATCTGACGACTGCCCAAGTCGAACGAGCTCTGGCTCCTTGGGATGCCACGGCGCATTCCATAAAACGGGGAGCGTTGAGACACGCTGCTCAAATCGTGGAGACGTACAATTTGAATCCACACGTGATCTCGCAGTTGGCGAAACATGTCGACCCGTTCGACCTTCCCCAGAATACTGTTCGATATTTGGGGAGATACACCACAATGCTGACCCAGGTGTCGTCGCTGGTCGCATTGATGTGAAGGGAGAAACTGCGGAAGGGCAGGAACCCTGGCTAAGAGCAGAGGAGCGTTTTTTCCATGATTTTAATCACAATCATGCCGCTACAATAACGAGACGCGCGACAAGGACGCGTCTGGCCACTCCACAAGATGAACACGCTATCCCGCTACAGCAAGTCAACGTGCCCGTATTGAACTTAGAGTGGATTAAGAGTCGGTTGAACCCGGCCACCTTGGAGAGGCTCATGCAAGTTTGGGGACTCGTCGGGCGGTCCCCTTTCCCTCCGTCTTCCTTCGGTAAAGTGCGTGAAGGCTCACGGAGGATTCCAACCGCTGATGCGCATTTGTTACGAACAGCAGGAATAATCGAGGACGCTTCGTCCACAATGACAGGCGGATGGATAATACCCTTCTCGGTTGTGGAGGAGAAAACCACCGGTTCACGACGACGATGGATCGCGTGGCCACGCGACAAGAACCGAGACGACCCTTACGAGGCGAATGTTCCTCTTTTACACATTTCCCATTATTTGCCACCTGTGATGGCTGAGGCCGCTTCCTGCCTGGATTTAAAGGCATCCTTTTTTCAAGTCTCTTTACCGCGGGAGACTCGGCATCTCTTTCGATGCCGCGTGGAGGACGGCACGCTGGTGGAGCTGACACGGCTCCCTATGGGATACAAGGCCAGCCCGGAAATTCTCCAGATTATTACTTCGGCGATTGCGGGGATGACGACGGTGGTTCACCCCCTCTGGGCCGCACCTCCATCGGTGCGTGTCGACGTTTGGATCGATAATATACGCATTTCAGGGTCGAAAAGCGATGTGACATTGTGGGAAGCCCAAGTACTTCGTAATGCGGACAGTTGTCGCGCATCCATGGGGGAGGACCGCGAATCGGGCGCCACGCAGTACACCTTCCTGGGGGTGCACTTTGATCACACTCAGCGTGCGGTATCCCTGAGTGAAAGGTTTGTCTGCTCTGTGCGCGCCATGCCGGCGCTTAATTCTTTGACCATCGCGGAAATGGAGGTTATGGCGTCACGTTTTTTGTACGCGGCTGCCATTTTGGGCACGCGTTTATGCCAATACTATTTTTTTATCAAGGCAGTGCGACGACGATTATCGGCACTTAACCGGGGAATTGTTCTGGAGACATCCCCGGCGAACCTACCGCCGTCAGCGGTTGGTTTGGGCGAGAGGTTGCGACACACCATCGAGAACAATCGCAAGCGAATCATCAAGCCCACCGAGAGAGCATCGGCTGCCATCATCACGGACGCATCGCTCCATGGATGGGGAGCCGTTTTTATTCCAGACTCCGGCGACGTTAAAATTGCCGGAGGGAAATGGGAGAAGAAACCTTTTCTTATCATGCAGGCCGAGGCACGCGCGGTCCGCTTAGCCTTATCGGCTTTTTCCGCCATCTTGCCATCCACCATGGACGTTTG